CTAAACATCAAATTATGTCTAGGTCATTGAATGGGTGGATACCCTATATTCTGTTTAATGCATATGTTCAATTGTACACGCACTTCAACCAACTGTGTCTTTATTTTAATAACAGACCAAGTACTGAAAACACATAAAGAAAGACTATTTTTCTACCTCAGCAAAAATATGGCTGATACACTGCATGACCCTTCAGGAATGACTGCTCTGTTTGTTCTATTTACATGATATAGCCTTATTGGAAAAGGGAGAAAGGGGTGAAAATCAGCAAAAATTCCAGAAACTCGTTTTTAACAATCAGTCCCAAAAAAAACTGTCTTGCTTTTCTTACTGTTCCTGTTACAGGTTTCTCCCTCATTATACATCAGAAACACGTAAAATGCAAGATTTTACATTTCTTCCAAATCCCTACTGAATCATATAAAATTAAATGCAACATTTTCCAACTATGCAGCCACAGACAAAATATAAAATATAAACATAAAACATAAAAACACATCTATGCTGGTTCCTGAAACTAACAAGGATTTGCGGCTTTCACGCTTGTGTATTTCAGCGCACTTAATTCTTTCCAACAGCTCCATATTTCTTTCAGGCAGCAGAGAGGTATTCTTCATCTAATGCAGGAATCTAAAACTTAATCTTTCGCTTTGCTCAATTCCTAAGGACAAGTGAAACACACTTCCTTACTGCTTTCAGGACGCCATGTTAACTAACCACTTCGAACAGAGGAGCAAATTTGATCAGGCTGTATTCTTCCATCTGCATAAAAGTGAATTTTTGCTCCAGTCAAGCGCTTTAAATCCTTGTAAAAACATAAAAGGTAGTACAAAGCCTACTGTATTTTTACAAAAATATGTAGAATGGACTTGGACAAACAGCTCTTTAACCATCAGCCTGTGTTTCTGCCACCCCAGAGGTATATTAAAACTGATTTCTAACTACACTTAAGCAGACATGGCCACAATGCACTGAACTTTAGGGGGCTCACAGCAATCAGCAGCAGCACTTCGAAGAGTCACTGCATCCACATTTCTGTTACATCTGACTTCGTACAAGCTCCGTAACTACAGCTACTGATTAACATCCTGATCATACACTTTTGTTTGAATTCCCCGAAAGCTTTTCCTTCCATTAGCATTTTGTAAATTGAATCACGGTTTTTAACAGTTAAATTAATATGAACATATCAGACTGCATCAAACTAATCTAAACAAAAAATATTTTGCCATCATTTCCTGTTTTAAATTTGAACTTGTTCCCTTAGATATCATTTGATTCTATGCTTCTTTTTCAACAAAATCAAACTTCAGAACAGCTCATTCGGCATCCTGGCATTTTAAGCTGCTTTCAGAAGCTTTTGACGCTTATTTTCTACGCTCTTCAAATCAACACACACATATATATGCACATCCACTCTTACACAAACAGGTTCACAAACTGCAATCAACAATTCTGTAAATATAAGTTTCCTAGTCATTAATCATCCCCCTTTTTTTTAATCCTTATGGAGTGAATTACTAACTGAGAGGAGACGCCAATTCTAGTAAGTGAATGTTACCCAACAGGGATATAAAGCTGTCAACACCATAGTGCTCTTGCTTGCTCTAAACTCTCTCCCAGGCTTCATATGTTTTTTAAAGCGATATTAGTCTTTTTTTCCAAGGAACCTTACTCTCCTTAAAATCTGAGCACTTGTGTTTTATTACATACAGGTTTTAAAACAGACTGGTCAGATAACAGTTGAAATATTTCAGAAGCACTGGGTTAGTCAGGCAAACCAAAACTGGACTCTAATACATTGGACTGGCGCTAACAACATTGTAAACAGTACCAAAACTTTTTAATCCCCTATTAAACACAACCTTTAAGACCTCGTTTATCTTTTTAGTGACCTTCACTAGATTATTATAGCTGCTGTAATGGCCCTCTGAATTAAGGACATTCACGTTAGGAATAAAAAACCAGGAAAGTCATAGCGCAAAATTTCTCATGAGAACAATTGATTTTCTGTCTGCATTACATAAGCTAATTTTAAAACACTTTTTCACTCACAAAACTAGAGAGAAAGCTAGAAACACCGATAGCATTATATTTCTCTATTTCTCAGGGAAGTCACTAGAAAAATAATTGCAGCAAACAGTACGATTATAAAACTGGTTACCAAAGGTCATCACACTCATCATAGCTGCAGATAGTTGAGAGCTTATTGCTCTGCTCTCACGAGTTAACTTCAGAAACTGATATTATTACAACAAAAAGCCACTTGACAAATAGGAAGGAATTTCAGAATTTACATATCTAAGGCCCAAAATGAGATGAGAAAAAGAATTGCTAACATTTGGCATTGCTTTCAAAATCTTTATGTACACATTATGGAATTAAAAATAAAACAAAAAAAACTTAAATGGTCTCTAGTTTTCGGTAGAGTATTTCCATTTTTGTCCTAAATACAATTCACATTCAGTAAGTATTAGCACTTGTTAAAGCCCAAGAAATAAGAATAAACACAAACGCTGGCAACTGAAGCCTTGCATGTCACTTCACTATGACTTTCAATAGTTTCCTTTTTGTCAGACTCTAGGCACAATAGTAGGAGAGTCTCTATCAGTATTTACTTCAAATAATTTTTATACTAATTTACCAGCAAATTTAAAGTAAGCCCATCCACAAATGTCTACTGATTCATTCCACAACTCCAGTGAAAAAATTACTAACACCACAGTAATCACTGCAAAGACACAGACTTCCAAAAACACCTGAAACAGGTGTGATCTGCATTCAGGAAAAGATCACTTGATCATAACAGATTCTTAAAGATCAAACTTGAAAAAGAGCAGAAGGAAAATATCTGGAAATTAGTTATGTTGATTTATTGTAAGAGTATTTCCAGGAGAAAAAAAAAAATCAATTTTAAACAGCACCATTATCTTATTAAAAAAAAAGTCTGCCTTAACTAATTTAGTATTGAGTATTATAGAACCTAGGTAAGTATTCAGAAAGGAGTAATTTTTTTCTTGCTTTCACTATCAATAAGGAGTAATGAATAACCTTTATTATGAACAGCCTAAACCCAAAGAGACTGAGACTGTTTAAAGAACAGCAGCTAAGGAAAAAGAAAAAAAATTACTCCTGCATTTCTTATTTCCCCACACTTCTACACTCCAGTCTACAACACCTTTATACATGAGCTGAAAAGTAATGAATGAAAACTCAAGCTCTTAAAAGTTTGCTTTCAGAAATCAAAGTCTTTTTCTTAAGTGGAAGTGATCTTCCACAGCTTAATAGGCCAGATTCAGGCTGAACCACCAGTATAACTATAAAAGCTGCTGAATTTCTCTTGGATAATACAGCTGCAACTAGAAAGCAAGCATATATTCCAAAACATTTAAAAGAGTTCTGTTAAAGGATATTTCTATAAATGCCCCAAGGAAAAATATTTCAGCTCTAATTCTAACATTCCTTTAAAAATCAAGCAGCTTTAATGCCCAAGTCTTGAAAAAGGCATGTAAAACTATATACGTTACTTTTTACATGATTAACTAGTTCCTTTTTACAATTATTCAACAAATTATTTCTTCAGCAATTTCTAAGTGGAATAGTATTACAAGTCTGTCACTGCAAAGCTGTTTCTTCTTCTATACACTGGAGGAACACAGAGAACAGGATTAAAAACTAGATATATAGAAACATAAAAAACTAGTGAGCTCTCTTACCCTTCATTAGGTATATAAATGAATCCTACGCTTTTAAAATAAAATCTGCAGCTCCTTAGCAAACTTCAGCAATTAGGAAGCCTATTGAGCCAAAGAGGTCTAAAACAAGCATCTAATGGTAAAATCGCTAAATAAACCTCACGTAATAGGGAGTCATGTGACGACCATTTCAATGTATCTCTCGAAATGCCAGTTACACAAACTCCTTGTGTACAAACAACTACAATTATGTGTTACTGCTCTGCTCATTTTAAAACACAAATGCAGAGGTTTTTTAAGGTAAAGTTATTGGTGGCCTTTCCTGCAGTATTCTGTTCACAAAAGCTGGTTAATTTCAAGATTTTTAAATATATTTTTTCTAACACGAGGCTGCACTGTCTCAAACACGACAGCATCAGAGTTAAGAGGAAAAAAGAAGGCATTTAAGAGAAGTAACTGGAAAGTTTATCTGCTTGGAACAAAAGGAGGGGAAAAAAGCAACCATGCACTTAATATCCTCTTAACACAAAACTGACCAGCAACTTGATAACAAAGTAAGAAAGATTAAGTATTCTAAAGAACCGCAGGAAAACTGCAAAACTAAAGCTCAATATATCTGCTGAAAGAGCTGAACCTTACACATGCCCTATCCTCTTTTACAACAACTGCTACAAAATGCTACTTACCGAAAGAAAAATAAAATCCCAAAATGCAACCATAAACGCTACCATTTTTCCCACCCTGGTGACCCTATTCTTAAAGCCGTGACGGCGGGTGCTACCGCAGCTAAACTGGTGTCACCTGCATCCGCGAAGGCAGCCCGCCCGCCCGCCCGCAGCCCGGAGGCGCAGCCCAGGCACGCCGCCCGGCCGCGGCCGTGCCCTGCGGGAGCGCGGCGGGCAGGGGATGCCCGTGGGCTGCCCCAGGGCAATCCGCACCAACAAAGCGCCGAGCGCAGGACATGCTCTCACCCCGTTACCCTCCCGCAGGATCAGCGCTCGCCTTTTGAGAGCTGCCCGGCCAGAGCCCGGCCCGGGGTGGCCTCTTTCGGCAGGCGGCCTTCTAACACCGGAGGGCTGCGCGCCGCATGCCCGGTCCAAGTCTTCCCGCAGATCCCCATCACCGCAGCGGTGCCGAGCAGCCAAATGCTTGCCCAGGAAAGCGGGCAGCAGCCCTCCAGCTGCCGCTCGGACTTGCCGGGCCCTCCGCGCACGGTGCCGACCCGCCCGCCACACGCTCCCCCCGGGCCCGCCGCCCTGCGCGCCCCGGGCGTCGGAGCCGCCGCGAGCGCGGCCGCACGGTTACCTCCCACGGGCTTGGTGACGGCGCCGTTGGGCCTCCCGCGGGTGCCCATGGGGCTGCCGTTCTGCTCCAGCCTGGCCACCTTCCCGGGGGGGGGCCCTTTGACATCGGGGCTGCCGCTGCCTCTGTCGGGGCTGTCCCGCAGACAGGGGCTCTCGCTCCTCCGCTCCATGCTCGGGGACGCTGCTCCCGCTGGCAGGTCGCAGTAGAAGGAGCACGGACCTAGGGCGAGAGAAACAAGGGGCGCTTCAGTGGCCGCTGGCCAGTACCGGGCCCCGCTCACCCGGCCGGGCCCCCGATGCGCGTCTCCAGAGCGCTTCAGCTCCGTGAAGCCGGGCGAGTAGCGGCCGGGTGCGACGCCGCACCGCTCCCGCCGCCGGAGCCGGCCCCGCTGGAAGCGAGCGGTTCCCCTCACCCGCCCGGCGCCAACCTGCCGCGGGCGGGGGCAGGCAGTGCTGCGCCCCGGCTCCCATCGCGCTCGGCAGGCAAGCAGCCCGGCCGCCTGCCGCAGCCAGGTGCTGCGCCCCGGGTCCGGCCACAATCCCGGCCCACCCCCGGGGGCCGCGGGGAAGAGGCTGCCAGTCCAGACGGCCCCGCTGGCACGGCCCCCCCGCGCCGGCCAGCTGTGCAGCCACGGAGTAGCCGGCTGCTGGCGAGGAAGCCTCTAGCGAGCGGCTCCCGCGAACTGCCGCTGTACTTACTGCTTATAGCCTGTCTGTAAGTTGGCTGAGTTGGGCTCTGTCCATGGATCAGAAGTAGAGAATCCAGGGTGGAAAGTTTTCCTGTTTCCTTCTCCCACGCCGCGTTCTTCGCTTCTACTCCTTCCCCCCACCCCCAGCCCCTTCCTCGCCCTCCTCCGGGGGTGCTGAGGCGGCGGGGCCGGGGCGGTTTCCCGCGGGGCGGCAAGGGTAGAGCCCCGTCCCGGAGGGTCCCGGGTGGCGAGCGGAGCGGAGAGGTCGGGACGAGGGGGCGGGGAGGCGTGGGGCCGTCGGCTGCGGCGCAGAAGAGAAGGGAGAGGGAGCCGACTTCTCACACCTTCAGCGGAGAAAATCAATACCGGGGGAAACAGGGGGAGGAGAAGAGGAGGGAGCGCCGCTCTCCCGGGCTCCGCGGCGGCGGCGAGTGCCTGGCAGCGCGGAGAAGTGGCGGCGGCGGCCCCCCGTGTGTCACTTTCAATCGCTCCCTCCTCTGCCAACGACAGCAGCGGCAGGAGGGACTCGCCACAGAGAGCAGAGAAACGGTTATTAGTTGCGTTGAGTCATCGAGGCAAAGTGAGTCCTTTTTGGGGTTGTCCTTGCTTTCGGGTTTGGTGTATGTGCACGCCTGTGTGTGTGTGTCTGCCTGTCTGTCTGCGCGGCGTTCCCGTCCCAGGGCTGTGCATCCCAAACATCGCCACCCCTCCTCGCCTTGACACCCCTCCCCCTCCCCGCCCCCCCGCAAAAATCAAGTCTCGCTGCTACCTCGGAATCGGGCACAGACGGGCACGCAGCAGCCCACCTCCTCCCGGCCCGGCCCGCCCCGCCGAGCCCCGGCCCCGCTGCGCGCACGGGTGGGAGGCAGAAACCCACCTGGCAGGAAATTAAAGACCAATAAATAAATAATACATCTCGCACGCGAAAAAGGAGCGCAGTGCCGCGCGAAGGGAGGGCAGGCTGGGTGGGGAAGGGGAAGCGTGGCAGGACGACGCGGTGGTGACAGGAGAGCCCCAGGGCAGAAAGGCGCAAGGGCAGGGGCAGCCGGGCTGGGGGAGGGCTGAGAGGGAAGGAGAGGAGGAGGAGCCGGGAGAAGGGGAAGGGCGGGGGGGCGGATGGCGGGGAAGTGGGAGTTGGGGGACACCGGGCCGACCGAGGAGGAGCAAAGCTGCCACCGGCATTCAGTCTACACGCCCGGCTTGGTCCGATGCAACCCGTGCGACCTCGCCGCGTCCTGCCACCCGCCCCTCACCCCCGTCCCCCTGGGAACCGACCGACGGCGGGGATCCTCCCGCAACCTCTCTCCGCCGGGGCGAGGCCACCGTAACTTTTCGCGGTGCGGTGGGGGCTGCCGCCCCGAGGGCCGGTCGCGCTTCCTCCAGGCCTCCGAGAGCCAGCGACCGGCCCCAGGTAGGGCCCCGCCGTCGCCCTGTTCTCCGCGCCCGGCTCCAGGCAGTTACCGGGGTGGTCCTGAATAATTGATGGCGGGGGCCACGAGAAGGTGACAAGCGGGCAGGGAAGCGCTACTGCTGCCGCCGCTAAATTATTTAATAGCGGAGCTCCGGGTAGAGCAATGACAGCGCTACCGAAGTGCAGCCAGTGGTGCGAGCAAAGCTCCGGCCGGGAAGTCGCAGCGGGGCGGGATCGAGCCCCTCACCAGTCCCAGGGCGGCGAGCGGTCACCCGGCAGGCAGGCAGTCCCCTCTCTCTGATGCAAGGTGCACCGCGCCGCTCCCCGGGGCCGGCGGCGGCGTGGGAGCGTCTCCCGGCGGGGCCATGCCCCGCGGGCGCCCCGAGGACCCGCAGCGCCCCCTGCCCGGCCCGGGGGGCGCGGGGGAATGAGCCGGCGGCCCCGCGCCGCCGAGCCCTCGCCGCCCGCCCGGCGGCGGAACGAGACCCACGTTAAGGTGGACCGAGGGAATCCCTTCAGGCGGAGGGGCGCGGGCGGCGGACGGGCGGCGGGGAATGAGCCGGCGGCGGTGGGTACCCAAAGTGCCCCGACGCCCCCCTCCTCCACCTCCCCCGCCGCCCGTCCGCGGCTGGCTCCCTGCGCGGCGCCGCCCTCCCTGCCGTGCTCCCTTAAGAGCTCTGTCTTTTACGGTGGCGCCGGAGGGTCAAAAAAAAGGGGGGTTAGTGGGGAGCGGAGCCCCCCGTCCGGGCACGGCGATACTGGGGACCTGCGGGAGCATCACGGCCACCGGGCAGGCCTGGTGACAAATCTGCGTTCTTCCCGTAAGCGCCTGGGGACAGCAGGGCGGGCAGCCGTGGTTGCCCCGAGCCCACATGCAGCCGTCCCAGTGCTGCCTCGGGGTTTGGAGGAGGGTCAGGTCCCCACAGGCGATCGGCTGCCGCCGGTACCGCTGCGCCCTCCTTCCCTCCGAGCAGCAGTGACAGCCCACCCGAGCGCTCGGGTGTCCCGGTGAGCTCCGGGCCGCCCATGAAAATAGTGCCAGGAGAAGCAGCGGATCTCGGGCAGGGTAAGAGAAATCAGCCCTTCGTTCCACATCCGACCTCCGGGCCGGCCCCGAAAAGCAGTGCCAAGTGCGGCTTTCCCCGCCTCGGCCGAAGCACTCGTGTCTCTCCCGCCTCGGCAGGGGCAGGGGGACCCGCCGCCGAAGTCTGGACGCGGTGCCAGCCTTGCCCCGGGACAGCAAGCCCGGGTGGGAGCCGTGTCCCATCGCCGGCTGAAGTCGGGGGGAGCCGGAGAAGATACGGGGAGCAGCGGAAGGCCGAGGGCGGGGGGCCGGGATACCGCCAGGGCCGGGGCTCCGGGAGCGGTCGGAGAAGCGAGCGGCGGTGCCGGGAACGCGCAGGCTGCGGACGAGAGAGCGCGGCGGCTGCCCCAACCAGGTCTCCTGCTTTCCCTCTCGGAAACGAGCCTCAAAGTTTGGAGAACTCTCTGTTTTCTTTTTAAATAACGCGATCTAACTTTTGTCCCTTGCCCCCCACCCTCCCAATTTTAAAAAGCTCAGCAGTATAGAAGTTAACGTTCTTACATGGAAGTTAACGTTTTCTACCAGCTATTGAATAATTGAATAATGTTTTGTTCTTACCTTTGATGTTGAACTACGAATGCCCGCGGATCAATGGCCAGAAAGTTAGAAGAATTGGTGATTTAGGACTTCAGTACTTCTGGAAAAAAAAATGCCAATGGTTTAGCCAGGATCTTCCCTGTCTGATTCGTTACTATTATTATATCTGATGATGTGGATGGATGGAGAGACTCAATCCAAGCCCATTAATGAGGTATTTTATAAACACCACCGTCTGAAGATCTTCATTTACATTTTGTCAGTGATCCTTTCCTTAACAGCGGAGACGTGTGGCGACAGCGCGATTACAGGACTTTAGTAAAGCTCCTATAAGAGTACAACTGGCTTGTTAATCGATTAATATTTTATTAAGTGTAAATATTTTATAAAGTTTTTAGGAAAACTATCGATTCTAAATTATTAAACTAGTCAGAAGGGCATTTGAATAATGCATACAATTAAATACATTTAAATATATATGTAGCGATTGCTTCATTTGCAATGAATCCCCTGCACCTTTCTCTTGCTTTCGTTTTTTTCTCCACGGGCAGCTGGTTTCTCATTTCCGCGTTCACTGGAATATCACGATTACCAAATATGTGTTTGGTCCGTATTTATAAACTGAATGTTTACATAAAATACTCCGAGAAAATAACTTTGAAATCGGAAGCCGTAATGATTTGAAAATTTTGACGCGGAAGCAAAGGGGCTTGTTAGTGAAACCGAGGGAAACGTAACCGAGTTCGTATAAATGTTGTTGGGTAACTTCTGTTTTGTAAACATCACTTAATTTATGAAATATGATGATTTTATGAAGTATGATGCTTATTTTTCTTTTACATATTTTTTCCCAATAAAAGACTTTTCTCTCTGTTTCGAATTACAAACGCTTTTTTTCCCCAACTGCATGATTTTCACATGTCCCTATTTCCACTGGAAAGAAAAGATTATTATTTCCCATTGCTTTCCTCACATGTCTTCAATGTCGCAATTTAAAAACCACTGTTTTTTAAAAATAATAATAATATTAATAACCTATTTTTCTTTTTCTAACATGAACTCCGGTACGAGAATTTTCTGCTCTCTCATTCTGACGGGAGCAGGAGTGGATGCGCTCCGCGTGCCCAGCGCTCCTTGTTACTGAAGTTTGTGGAGCCCTTCAGTCGTTGATTACCAAAAAATTTTGAACAAAAACACCTCCTTGGAAAGGTTTGGTTTTCATTAACTACCGCTTTTAAAGCCAAAACGCATGGAAGCGATCTCTGTGCCCACACAGGCTTCAGAGGCGGGCGGCTGCAGCCGGGGCTGCCGCGACCTCCCGGGCCTCGGCTGCCCGCGATGCCGCCCCCCGGGCCGGGCAGCTCTCGTCCTACGGAGCCGGGCCGAGAGCCGGCCCGCGTGGCTCTCCCCGAGGCAGGATCCGCCGGGCGTTCTCCTCGTCTGCTGCTTTCTCCCCCTTCCACCCGGTATTTCCCAGGGGCTGCGGCTCCCGCGGGACGACAGCCTCCCCGCGGGGCTCGGCCGGGGCTGAGCGCTGTGGCCCGGGCCGAGGCGAGCTCCCCGGCGCCGCACGCTGGGGTCCCGGGGACACTGACCCACCGCCCGCGGGCACCGTCTCCAAGCGCAGAGGACCCGGGCTGCCACAAGGGCACAGTGGCCGGCGGGCTGGGAGCGACATGGCCCCCAGCACCGGCGAGGCAGCTCTGGGTCCCTTCGGGTTGGCGGCTGTAGTCCGCACTGCCAGCACGCCGGGTCAGGAGGAGAGAGGAGAGGGGAGAGCGGATCCCACAGGCGAGGGCTCCGGTCTCTGCGCTTGGCTCGGGCTCCATCGCGGCGGGACCCGAGCCCGCGGATGCTCCTGCGGGCCGCGGCCGGGACCACCCGCCCGACCCGTCCCGGCGCCTTCGCCTTTGCACAGCGCCATCGCGCGGGCACTGGCGCCGGCGCAGCCCGAGGCGGCCGCTGCTNNCGGCGCGGAAACGGCGCAGCACCTGCCGCGGGCCGAGCGGGCCCCTCCCGCCGCCCTCCGCTGCGCCCTCGGCCCTTGCAGCGCCGCTCCGCCCTGCCACCTTGCCCGCCGCGCCATATGCCCTCGAGGCTCCGACACCCTCTCCCGTCCCGCGGCCCGGCCCGGGCAGAGCGGCGGCCCAGACAAACCGGCGATGGGCAGCGCGTAAGGACCGACCTCCTGCCCAGCCGCGCCTTATTGGCGCTCCCCTCGCGGCCCGGGAAAGGCGCTGGGCAGCCGAGGAGCCAGGCCGCCGCTGCGGGGTGGCCCCGCCATCGAGCGCTCGCTGTCGGGGACGAGCCATCTAACCCTGCCGCCGTAGGAGGGGTTCTCGTCCCTCCGCATTACCGCGATCCCTCTTTCCCTCTTTCGGCGGCAGGTTCACGAGGGGAAGCCGAAATGAAACGAAAATGTCCTTGAGCCCAACAGCGGGAGGAGCCCGGCTCTGCCCGCATCACTTCGAGGGGAAAGCTCTGGCTCCAGCCGACAGTGCCGGCGGGAGCACGGCACCGGCCACCGTCCTTTCCCGGCCACAAGCCGCTGCTTTCCCCCTACAACTCAAGCCTAAAACGGCGGCTGTCCGGAGGGGGAGCGCGGCGGCTGCTGGGGCCGCCTGGCAAGTCCCCCAGCTCCGCGGCATAACGCCTCGGCCCCGCGGGAGCTGGCTCTGCATCCCCTCAACACCGCCGGCTGCCTCCAGCCCCTTCGGGATCCACGCGGCTCGTTCGTGCTGCGCCAATGGAATAACAAAAATAATTTTTAAAAAACCAAACCCAAAGCGTCTTCACGTCGTCCGAGCTCCGACCAAAGGGTTTCGGGACAGCAGTATCTCTGCAGACCTACCCGCGCTTCCATCCTTCCCCCCAGTGGTTTTATTAATGAGCTGTTAACGCTGGTTTATACGGAGAAGGAGCTGCGGACAGCAGAGAAGCAATCGCTACAGCCAGATGTACACAGGGAAGGGAACGACTCGGCCGGATCCGAGTAGCACGTAATAAACGATTAGACCGTATTTCGGTGCCCAGGAGGCAGCCCAGCCCCGGCCGAGCAGGCGCAGGGAGCGGGGCTCACCGGCAGGCCGGGCCGGCTGGACGCCCGGTGCGGAGCTGAGCTGGCCGCTGCCGGAGTCCTGCTAGGTCTCTCCTGCCCTCCGGCTCCCTACTACCTTCTGCCGCTTCCCCGTGTTCCTCATACACGTCTCCAGATCTTGGCTTTCCCCCTTGGCCCTGGGCTTGCGTTTTCCCGCAATCACACGCTGCAATGCTAACCGCAAGGGAATTCCTCCGTGAGATATCAAGCTCATCAACCCACCTCACCTTAACAGACTTCGAGATTCTTCAGTATTGCATGGCTTCTTTAAAATAGTTCTGTTTAGATTTGTAAACTGTCAGGAGCAGAGAGCACAGACCGAAGCGCGTTTGTGCCCTGTGGCTCTTTTCCTTCAAATAGCAGCTTATAGCTGGAAATGAAGGAAGAGTTTTGCCACCTTCGTTGCAATTAAGGAAAGTTCCCTAGATCCGAGAGAGAAGTAACTAACAAGCCCCTCCACCCGAGCACCAACTGCGGCTGCTCGTTCGCCGCAGCCTGAGGCCACTCCGGTGCCGCTTGCCCCAGGCCGGGCGGTGTCCCCCGCTTCACCCCGAGGTGGCCGCTCCGAGCGGCGCCAGCACGGCAAACGAGCGTTCCGCCTGCCGCGCACTGCCCGAGCTGCGGCGTGAACGAATGCGGGAAGGGGCTGCAGCACAGAGCCGCCACCCTCGGCACGGGAGCCAGCCCAGCCCCTGCCTTTACACCCCTAATGTGCCTAAGGGACGCGGAGTTCCGGGGAAACGCGCTCTTCCCTTCCAACCCCGCTCTCGCCCGGGGTGAGAACGAGTGACGGCGGGGCTCTGCAGGACTTGCCGAGCGTGCAGGGCTGAGGACTCGTACCCCGAGGCACGAACCATTTTATTACAACGATTTACGTAAATTAGCAAGATAGCATCCTTGCTGTCCCGCCAGGCTCCGACATAGAAGCAAAATATCACCCGCCCAGGTTGGACACCATTGCCTCACAAGGGCTCAAGCGCTCTCCGAGTTCCTACGGCCGGAGGAGACCACATGAGAGGACAGACCTCAACAGAACCAGGAGGACAGAGCTGACTCCGAGCTCCCTCCCCATGAGCTTCCCAACGGGCTGAGCTCAGCCCTAGCCCCGCCGCTCAGGACGCGGTGCTCATTAGCGACTGTCCTTTGGACAGAGCAGGGTGCTGTTTTCCTCCCAGATCCAAACTTTGTCTCTCAACAGATACTCTCATCTGCGTACGCCCGTTTTAATTAAAACTTCAGAAAATGCGTAGGGAGAAGCCGCTGCTCTGCGGCACAAGGCAGCAGTTCCCGCCGGCTCCTACCACGCGAAATGGTGCTCAGGGAGCAGACCCGTGGTGGGACCGCACGGGGCCCGGTGCCGGCCCCCAGCTCCCCCCTCGCTCCCCGCCGTCAGGCTGAAGCCAAAGGCAGGGCAGCCTGTGACAAAACAGCCCGGCCGGCAGCTGGGGTGCCCGGCTGAAGGCTTAGAGTTTTCTGTGCGAGTAACTGAAGGCTGCGGATCTGCTTAGAAAAAAAGGGGCAGACAGTGGAGGGGATTTCGAGTGAAGATAAACAACAGGGGTTTATTGAACTATAAAGGCTGCAAACGCCTTTGAACAAATCAAGGAAACGCATCCTAATACACACGAGCCGCAAATATCCCGTAGCCTGCTGGCTCCTGCAAGAAGGTAGATCAGATCCTCCCGGCTGCACCACGAACCTGGCATGTCCCTGGCGGAATCACCGCAAATGGAAAGCTGACAGGGAAATTCTCAGTCTGTTTAGGCTTTCGCAAGCCCTGTACTGCTACCTACGGGGCTCAGCAAGGCATTCTCTGCAGAGGAGTCACACATGGGGCCCAAGGGCAGGAAAGGGCCAAATCCTGTCGCTTTTCCTCCTGCAAACAATCCTATCGTCTTTCCCTGCGACTTCAAAACTTTGCCAGGCAATATGCGCCAACACTTAAAAAGATTTTCAGGGCTTGAGTTCGTACTTGGCCCGTGAAAGGGCCCCTTCGGGGTTCGGGGCTGTCTGCCCGCTCCCAGCACCTTAAAGGGTGGCCAAAAATTGTCCCGCAGCCCGAGGCAGCCCCGGTAGCCTTGCCGAGGCGGCGTCCTTCAACCTCGATGCTGCGGAACGAGGCAGATAGCGGGGCAGCTGGGAACTGGGGGACGCTACCCTGAGCCTGCCCGCCTTGAACCGCCGGGCTCCGCGGAGCTGATCCCCTCTAATTCCACAGTCTCTGACGAGGCTGTCTCCATGCCACCCCTGCCCCGCTCCTGAGGAGCAAGCAAGGCGCGGAAGGGGCCGGAAGCAAGTGCTCGGCGGCCGGCGGGGGCTGCCACCTCCCAGCCCCGCAGTACGGCCTCAGCCGCCGTGGCCTCGGTAGCTGCGCGGCCACCGTGCCCAGGCAAGGCACCGCTGTCAAGGGGCGAGAGCAATCCCACCTAAAGTCTCCTCTTCCTCCAGCCCTTGCGTTCCCCCGGCCGCCCTGCCCCCTCTCCCCCCCGCCCCCCGCCGCCGGAGGGGCCGCCGGCCTGCGCGCAGCCAGCGCGCTCCCGTGACAAATTTCAGGTTTGTAAAAGGACGGGTGAGAGTTATCCACCGTTTGAAATCCCATTATAAAACCAGAGCAGACGCAGTGCTCGTGTGCTCCCCGTCACGGAATCGCTCCAACTAAATCAGCATCTAACAAGAGAGTTTGTCCCCAGTGGGGACAGCAGCTCTCACTTACTCTGTTCCGTGAACCGCTGCACTTCTGCCCCAGGAAGAGCCCTTCAGCCACACCGTCT